CCTTTCTTCCTTACTAGACTGTATTCACTCTATTTATTGCCTTCTTCCTACCTTACTAGGTCTCTCTTGCCTCCTTTGTTAATCTCTCTTCATCTTGCCATACTCTTCATATTGAAATGCCCCTGGACTCAAATTCTCTGTCCTCTCTTCTCTACCTGCTGTCAGTTCCTTGATGCCCTTATTGCTATAATAAATATATCTCCAATTCAACTTGAGTTCCTTACTGCACACCAGAATTTTAAGTGTTAATGTTAACTATATAATATTTCTTTGACTTGAAGTTGTAACAAAATTCTTCTCTTTTCTACTCCAAATTAAGGGGACTCTTGACAAATGCTCACTCTAAAGATTCTACCAGACATGTTACCTCCCTTAAACTCACATTTTAATGAAGCTACACATTAAGGAAGCCAAATGGTACTACTGGAGACTAATAAGAACAGTTGCTCTAAATCAGTTGTTTTGAGTTTTCTCTCCCTCTAACTGAGAGCTGCTGTCCTAAAACATGATTTCATTCTGATTGCTTTTGTGCAAATTGGCTTTGTTGCTAGGTATCACACTGTGAACTGTTAACTTCTGAGCTTACTTTGAACTCAAGAAAGAAGATGAAATCCATGTGGTATTGTTAGGTGTTTGATTTAAATCCCAAACACAATCAGAGTACATACATTGAAAATAATAATAATAATACATGATCTGTAACTTTAAAAAAAAAAATAAGTTGACCAGTTTGCTTTTCAGTAACATTTAGTCCATATAATTTAGACATTTCTCATTAAATATTCACCCAAATGTAAGATAGATTTAAATATTACAAAGTAAACATTTCTCCTATATATCCAAGTATCCACTTGCAGTAACATTATTGTTATTACCAGCCACTCTGAAGACATGCAATGAGAACCAGCTCTTCTTAAGCAAAGAATATCATTAGATGCCCATTTAATCTGCCAACAACTGAACTTCAGAGAGGGTAAAGGAAAAAAGAACCTTTTGATGTGTGGACTTAAGTTCTTTTCCATTTGTTCAGACCATTTTTATGTGGTCCTCTTAGTGTTAGGATCTATACAAAGAGATTTGATTTGCTTTGTATATCTACTTACTGTATAGCTGGTCTCTAAACACAAGCTATCTATTTCAATGTGAGATCATCCAAAGAAATAGTGATCCCTAACAGTAGGGAGAAGTAGGACTGGATGCACTGCATTTATTGAGAAGAAGTGTGCTGTTGTCCAAAGTCACTCTTGACTAAGAGATTTCCCAGAAGAGCTGACATCATGCTGTTCCACTGATACATTGCACTCAGACCCTGACCCTGAGAAATAAGTGCCTCCACCATATCTGGGGTTTATTGTTATTTTTTCTTTTGTTTCTTATCTCAAAAAATTTTCTTTGAAAATCAGGATCTAGTCCACGTTTTCCCCACAGACTCATCTCCATCCTGCCCAGTCTGCCCTTCTTCACCTGCTGGCTGATTTACCTAGGCTCTGTGCTGTCAACTGCTTTGCTTATGTGGGTTCTTGTCACCTACAATGTTTTCCACTTTAGCCCTGCCCCTGCAACTCCAGGAAGTCTCTACTCTCCTGCACCCTCTGTTCAAGTGTTGCTATCACATAACACCTTCCCACAATGGCATTTAGCTACACATTGTCCTCTGACTCCACTGCATCCGGTTTATGCACACATCCATATAATTTACTATATTTTCATTGATTAAACATATGTCTTCTTTCCAGACTCCAAAGCAAGGACTGTACATATTGTTGAAAACTTGTTCAATAAATAATATGTGGAATGAATGACTGACTGAATGAAGAGCAGCAGAATATAAGACTGGGAATTTAGAATGAGATAAGGCAAGGAAGTACTTTGCATACCTAATGTAAAGCAATGAATATTACTCCATAGGAAATGAGATGACTTTGACAATTTTTAGTAGAAAACAGTATCATTCATTCATTCAGTTATTCAATTGAAAAAAAAAATTTTATTACACTGCAATGAAGTAAACAGACAGTTTCTACACTCAAGGAGTTTGAAATCTGGTGGAGGGAAACAAAAGACAAATAAATATAAGATGGCATATTTGTATGCTAATAAAAACCAAATCAAACTCTCAATTTTACTCATAGTGACCCCTCCTTGGGCTTCTGAGGCAGTATCACTACAGAAGTAGAATGCCCCATCTTCCTTTCAAGGAGTGGCTGGTGGGTTTGAACTGCCAGCTTTCTGATTAGCAGTCAAGTGCCTTAGGCACTATGCCACTAGAGCTCCCTAGATGTTAATACATGACATTAAAATAAATAAATAAATAAATAAGTCAAGGTAAGAAAAACAGAGAAGACTCACAAAGAGTGGAAAAAACAATAGTATTTCAGATAGGATGTTCAGGAAGTCCTCTCTTGACTTTTGAGTGGAGAACTGAAAGAAGTAAAGGAGCAAATCAAGAAGATAATAAACACAAGAGCAGTCAGGCAGAGAGAGCAGCAACTGGAAAGCCCCTGGGATGGAGACATGTCTGGTGTGTTCAGGGAGCAGCAATAAGACCGATGTGACTAGCACATTTGATGACTGGCCAGTATCAGGTATTGCAGGGCAGTGCAATGTCTAAGGCATTTGACTGCTAACCAGAAGGTTGGAGGTTCAAATCCACTAGGTGCTCCACAGAAGGAAGATGGGACAATCTAATTCCATAAAGATTTACTGCCTCAGAAATCCAAAAGGGGTCAGTATAAGTTGGCATTGATTTGAGGGCATTGAGGTTTTTTTTTTGTTGTTGTTCTTTTTGGTTTATGTATGAGTGGCATTATAGTTTATTGTCTAAACTAGGATTATTTTGAGGTTAAGGGGGTATTAATAATAAATCTGGGACAACAGGCATAAAGAAAGACTATCCTTGTAGTGCAAGGACATATAATTATTATCTTGATTTGGATTTTATTCTCAGTAATATAAAAAGTCCTTAAAGGATGGTGGACAGAGACATCACATGTCCTTGCTTATGTGGTTGAAGGATCACTAACTCTCATGTGGAGAATGATCTTATGCAGGTATGAGAAGACTGCAAGAGGATGTGATGGAAACAGGGAACATTTAAGAAGCTACCACAGTAAGCTAGAGAAAAGTAGGCAGTGGATTGAGGGGAAGATTAGCCTTACAGAACTGAACAAAATGAACTTGGGGAATAGGAGGAAAAGGCAATTTCAAGCAGGAAGACCAACTGGAGACAATGGCATCTCTGTGGAATGAAGTGGTGAAGATGTGATTTTGGCTAGTGGTAAGGGAAATGAGGGTAAAAGGGAAGGAAAAAGACATGCTAAATGCCAAGTAATCATTTCAAAACGTGGTTTCCAATAATATCACCAAAGGTAAATAAAATATATCAGCTTTAAGACAGATTTCTCCATCTTTATGGAGCCAGAAATATCAAGTTAGACTTCTAGCATAGTAAAGGATGTACTTGAAAAGGTGATAAAGAAATAAGATCACACAGAAAAAAAACTGCACATTTTCACCTTCAAAAAACTGGAATTACTATTTAAAAAATAAAGCTTGCAAAAATATTTTAAAATAATAATGAGCATTGAAATTCATATGTTCTTCTCAGATGTATTTATCAGATATATAACTAATTACTTGCTCTAAGGTAGCTCCTTCCACCTCCATGTGCATGTTCCACTGATATTCTGCTTTGAAAAATCAGTCAGTTTTGAATATCAAGGAAAAAGCACTAACGCCACATGTCCATGAGTCATACATCTTCCTGAGAGAGCAGAGTTCAGCACGAACTAGATAGACATTGCTCTTTACTATTATTTCCTGAATCAGTGGCATCACAACTGGATTACTACTTTCAACATCTGTCCTTGACTTTAGTTGTTCTCCTGTCCCCTCCAATCTCTCCTTCCAAGTCCATCTCCCTTGCACACTACTTGTTTACTAACCAAGAACCTACAGTTTCTATCTTTGTCATCTAGTCTAAACTTCTGTTAGTGTCCAATGATGGGAAAATATTCTATGTCTGTCACTGAGCCATCCTGGTGATACCATGTTTTCCACCTTTCCCTATACACATATCTTCTACTTTGGGTCTTCTTTCTACTATTATTTCCTTTTTGAAATAATTTCAGTCTCCATTTGGACTAATGAATATCCCATTCATTATTCAAGACCCTACCTGGAGTCCTCCTCTCCCCTCCTTGTGCATCAAAACATGACTTATTTCTTCTAACTTTAAAAGTCTTCACATCTAGGTTTTCCTATCCCCACTGTCTCTCCCATGAAAAGGGGTTTTCATCACCTCTTTTTGTCAGTAGCCTTTCTGCCTCTAGTCTTTCCCACTGCTATGGTGTAACAGGACATACCTTATAAATCTCAAGCTGATCACAACTCAATGCCCATAAGTCCCTATTTAAACAATAAAGTTCAAACACCTTAGCATGACTAATTTGGCCTTTTACAACAATTTTTCCAATGTTCCTTTCCAATCATTTTATTTCAGGGCACCCATATGAACCCTGGGAGCTCTGGTAGCATAGTGCCTAAGGCACTGGACTGCTAACCAGAGGGCTGGTGGTTCAAACCCACCAGCATCTCCTCGGAAGGAAGATGGGGCAATCTACTTCCGTAGTGATACTGCCTTGGCAACCCAAGGAGGGGTCGCTATGAGTCAGGTCGGACTCTACAGCACATAACAACAACAACAACAATATGAACCCTATGTTCAAGATACAAACTTTCACCAACCATCTACGCCACACTGTCCTTCTTTGTTCATTCTCCTCACTACTTTAAGAGCAATCCAAATCAAGTCCAACCAGAAGCCTCCTCTGATATTCTCAGTGTTAGTGACCATGTCATATTTCCATGATGAAGAACCATGTGCTAAGCATTTCTTCTTTATCTACAGATGATCGCTTTAAAGTTTCTTTTTCAATATTCTTCATTTATTTAAATAAGGGGTGGGGACTAGGAGGTAGAGAGAAATGAGTATTACTAACTTATTGACTTGCTGGTGTAACTCCTTCTTTGTCCACTGTGGTGCCTTTATGGAAGCAAAGAGCAGCAGATGTTCCAGAACAGTGAGATTGTCAAAAAGTACATCATGCTGAGGACACACACCCAGCTCCATTCTGACTGTGGCCAAATCTCTCTGCAGGTTCTTGCCATTGATGATGATGGCTCCAGAAGTGGGAGGATAAAGTCCTGTCAACATTGATCTGCAAGAGAAAACAAAATAATCAGAAAGACCACGTACTGCTATAAATATCAGTATCTCAGTGTAGTTTGTAGAAAGCTCAAGAGGAAGTGGAAAAGTTCAGGTACTAGCCCAATTGTGGAAAGTTATGGGAAAGCATAAAAAGCCATAGGATACAGGTAAGGGGAGGGAGATAGGCCCCATACCCAGAGGCAAGAAACAGAGAGAATGCCAGGGACAACAAAGTGGCAGGATCCAGGAAAGGGGAGGGTGGAGAGGTTTTTAAAACCTAAAGGAGAATAACTTGTCTGTCAGTTTGTCATACTGTGGTGGTGTATGCATTGCTGTGAGGCTTGAGGATGTGCTACTGATGTTTCAAATGCCAGCAGGGTTGCATATGGTGCACAGGTTTCAACACAGCTTACAGACTGAGACAGACTAGGAAGAAGGGAGATGCCACCCACTTCTCAAAAAATTGGTCAGGGAAAACCTTATGAATAGCAGAGAAACATTGTCTGATACATTACTGGGCAACTTTATGAATAGCCTGGAAACACTATCCAATACAGTGTAGGAAGACAAGCCCCTTAAGTCAGAAGGCTCTCAAAATACGGCTGGGAAGGAGCTGACTCATTAAAGTAGAACCAACCTTAATGATATGGATAAAGTAACGCTTTTGAGACCTCCATTTACTGATGTGGCATGACTCAAATTGAGGAGAAACAGATATAAATATCCATTAATAATCAGAACATGGAATGTATGCAGTATGAATCTAGGAAAATTGGAAGTTGTCAAAAATGAAATGGAACACATAAAGATTAATACCTAAGCATTAATGAGCTAAAATGGACTGGTTTTTGCCATTTTGAATCAGACAACCATATGATCTACTATTCCAGGAATGACAATTTGGCATTCATCATCACAAAGGATGTTTCAAGATCTGTCCTGAAGTACAGTACTGTCAGTGATAGTATAATATCCATACACCTACATGGATGACCAGTTACTATGACTATTATTCAAATTTATGCACAAACCACCAAAGCCAAAGATGAGGAAATTGAAGATTTTTATCAACTACTGCACTCTGAAATTGACCGAACATGCAATCAAGATATATTAATTATCACTGGTGACTGAAATGCAAAAGTTGGAAAAAAGAATCACCAGTAATTGGAAAATTTGGGCTTGGTGACAGAAATAATGCTGGAGATCTCTTGATAGAATTTTGCAAGACCAACGATTTATTCACTGCAAAGACTTTTTTTCAACAACACAAATGGTAGCCATACACATGGGCTTCACCAGATGCAATACACAGGAATCAGATTGACTACATCTGTGGCAAGAGGAGATGAAAAAACTCAGTATCTTCAGTCACAAGGCCAGTAGCTGACTGTGGAACAATCAACTGCTCATATACAAGTTTAACTTTAAGCTGAAGACAACTAAAACAAATCCACAAAAGCCAAAATAAGACCTTGAATATATCCCTCCTGAATTTAGAGACCATTTGAAGAATAGATTTCATGCACTGAACACCAATGACCAAAAACCAGAGGAATTGTGGGAGGACATCAAGAACATCATCCATGAAGAAAGTAAGAGGTCATTAAAAAGACAAGAAAAGAAGAACAAAATGAATGACAGAAGATACTCTGAAATTTGCCCTTGAGTGGAGAGCAGCTAGAGCAAATGAAAGAAATGACAAGATAAAAGAGCTGAACAGAAGATTTCAAAGAGCAGCTCAAGAAGACAAAGCCAATTACTATAATGAAATGTTCAAAGATTTGGAGTTAGGACACCAGAAGGGAAGAAAATGCTCAGCATTTCTCAAGCTAAAAGAACTGGGGAAAAAAATAATAAGTCTCGAGTTGCAATACTGAAAGATTCTACGGGCATAATACTGAATTATACAGGAAGCATCAAAACCAGATAGGACGAATACACAGAGTCACTGTACCAAAACAAACTAGTCAATGTTCATCCATTTCAGGAGGTGGCATATGTCCAAGAACCAATGGTATTGAAGGATGAAGTTGAAGATGCACTGAAGGAATTGGCTAAGATCAAACCTCCAGGAATGAGCCATTGAGAATGTTTGAACAAATGGATGCCCCGCTGGAGGCACTCCCTTGGCTATGCCAAGAGCTATGGAAGACAGCTGCCTGGCCAACTGACTGGAAGCGATCCATATTGGTACACATTCCAAAGAAAGGTGATCCCACAGGATATGTAAATTATCAAACAAGATCATTAATATTGCATACAAGTAAAATTTTACTGAAGATAATTCAAAATCAGTTGCAGCATCCAGAAATATCAAAAAATATTGACAGCATCCAGAAATGCAGGCTCGACTCAGAAGAGGATGTGAAATGAGAGATATCATTGCTGATGTCAGATGTTTTTTGCTCAAAGCAAAGAATACCAGAAAAATGTTTACTTGTGTTTTGTTGACTATACAAAAGCATTTGATTGTGTGGATCATAACACATTGTGGATAAATTTAAAAACAATGGGAATTCCAGAACACTTAATTGTACACATGAGGAACCTGTACATAGACCAGGAGGCTGTCATTTGAACAGAACAAGGGGGCACTGCATGGTTTAAAATCAAGAAGGGTGTGTGTTAGGGTAATATCTTTTCATCATACTTATTCAATCTATATGCTGAGCAAATAATCCTAGAAGCTGGACTATATGAAGAAGAACATGGCATCAAGATTGGAGGAAGAATCATTAACAACCTGCAATATGCTGATGACACAACTTTACTTGCTGAAAGTGAGGATAACTTGAAGCACTTACTGATGAAGATTGAAGAAGACAGTCTGCAGTATGGATTATATCTCAATGTAAAGAAAACAAAAATCTTCACAACTGGACCTATAAGCAGCATCATGATAAATGGAGAAAAGTTTGAAGTTGTTAAAGACTTCACATTGCTTGGTTCTACAATCGATGCCAATGGAAGCAGCAGTCATGACATCAGATGGCATATAGCACTGGACAAATCAGCTGCAAAGGACCTCTTTCAAGTGATGAAGAGCAAAGATGTTTCCTTGAGGACTAAGGTATGCCTGACACAGCCATGGTATTTTCAATCACCTCATATTCATGTGAGAGCTGGACAATGAATAAGGAAGACCAAAGAAGAGTTGATGATTTTGAATTGTGGTGCTGGAGAAGAATGCTGCTGGACTGCTAAAAGAACTAACAAATCTGTCCTGAAAGAAGTGCAGTGAGAATGGCCAGACTTTCTCTCACCTACTTTGGTCATGTTATTAGAAGGGACCATTCCCTGGAGAAGGACGTCATGCTTGGTAAGGTGGAAGGTTGACAAAAGAGGGGAAGGCCCTCAACCAGAAGGATTGACACAGTGGCTGTAGCGATGGCTCAAGTATAGCAAGGATCATGGAGCTGGCGCAGGACTGGAAGATGTTTCTTTCTGCTGTTCATAGGGTCACTATGAGTAGGAGACAACTCGACAGCACCTAACAACAACAACAGTTTGGTAGTTCAGGTTATGTGTCAACTGGGCTGGGCCTGTTTTTGAGTGTCTGGGAAGCTGGATATAGTTAAGCCCCTGCTGAAACTGATAATAAGCTCACAGTGGAATCTACTGTGAGTAGCTGAGTAGGTACCTTAGGGTTGTGGTCTGCTTCCGGTATATGAGAAGACACCTGAGAAAGGTCTTGAGCTTCTTGGCACATCAGATCCTCCATTTAACTGAGTCTTCATCTCAGTGGCCTGCCATAATGTCTGCTGATCTTGGGACTGTTTCTGAACTTGAACTAGTGGCTTTCCATGTTGCTTGATAATCTTGGAACTGTGCCATTTTATACTTTGACCTTGGGTTTGTCAGCCTTAGCAGTCAGCAGCTGCCTAAGTTAAGAGACACCTCAAACTCCAGTGTGCTAGGAGCAAGAGGCAGAGCTGAAGACCAAGGTCAAAGAGCCTTCATCTAGCACCTAGAGCTGGCACTTTGAACTTGGACTTCCAGTCTCCTAAACTATAAGAGAATAAATCCTTGTTTGTGAAAGTCATCCACTTGTGGCATTTTCTGTTAAACTAGAATTAGAGGGTCAAAACATCCACTCAACTCCAATCACATGAGTAAATCTTGAGAAGATCATAAACCTTCTGATGACTGTTTTCTACACCGTAAGCTAAGAGTTGAGAAGAGTTTGAGGGGATGTTGAATGGTTTCATCCTGGAAATGTGATCTTATGATAATGTTTATATTCCCCATATGATACAACAAAATCAGAGACCTGTATGAGATGTTAAAATTTTAAAATCCAAGGTTTTTTTTTTTTTTTTTTTTACGACTTAGTCCCCACCAGTCTTTTTTTTTTTTAAGTGATCTAATTTATCATCTTTTTTTTTTTTTTTTTATAGATGAGGAAACAGCCTAAATAAATATTCACCTAAGGCCTCATAGTCAGACAAAGGCAGAGCAGAACCTCAAATCAACATTCTAAACTCTGAAACTAGGCTTCTTTCTGCTATTCCCTTGCTATCTGTGAATGTCAACATCATAAGAACTCAAGTGCACATCACCAAAAGCTTATCCATCCAACATTACCAAAGGGAGATCCAGCATTGCCTAGTTCTGCTTCCTTTTTTCCATGAAGTTTATTATATATGACTGAAGACTATTTCCTTATTTCTAATAAGTTATATATACACCTAACCCAGAAAAAAACAAACACACTGCCATCGAGTCGGACCCAACCCATAGCGACCCGTCCTTGGGTTTCCGAGGCAGTATCACTACGGAAGTAGATTTCTCAACCTTCCTTCTGATGAGTGGCTGGTAGATTTGAACCGTCAGCCTTCTGGTTAGCAGTCAAATGCCTTAGGCACTGTGCCACCAGAGCTCCCTTAAATATACACCCACAGTAGTGGAAAAAGAAAACTGTTGCTATTGAGTTGATTTCAACTCATGGACACCACATATGTTTTCAAAGTAAAACTGAATTGTTCTGTAGGGTTTTCTTGGCTGTAATCTTCATGGAAACAAAATCTCAGGCCTCTCTTTTGTAGCACTGCTGAATGGATTAGTAGGTGAGCATAGTAGTCAAGGGCAAACCAATTGCTCTACCCAGGAACCTTACACCTATTAGAGGAACTAGCAATCTCACTCCTAAGTATTTACTCAAGAAAAATAAAATAAAATATGTCCATACAAAAGTATGTACACAATTGCTCATCACAGCTTTATTCATAATTACCAAAAACTAGCACTAAGCTGAACTGCCACTACAGATGAAGGGATAAACAAATTTTAGTACACCCATGTACTACAATACTACTCAGCAATGATAAGGACCAAAGTACTGATACAACACCATCATATATGAATCTCAAAATCATTATGCCAAGTGAAGGAAGTCAATCATAATCCCAATCCAAAACCCAACACACTACCATCGAGTTGGATCCGACTCATAGTGACCTCCCCTTGGGTTTCTGAGGCCATATCACTACAGAAGTAGATTGCCACATCTTTCTTCTGAGTAGCTGGTGGGTTTGAACTGCCAGCCTTCTGGTTACTAGTTAAATGCTTTAGGCACTGTGCCATTAGAGCTCCTTATCATAATCCCACATATGTGAAATTCTAGAAAATGAAAATTAATAGTGAGAAATAGCAGATCTTTGGCTACCTGGGGCCAGAGGTCAAAGGAGGGCAAATTGAGGCTTTGGAGAGTAAAAGAAATGTTCTTAATCATCATGATGTTAGTGGTTTTAGCATTAACAAATCCCTATTGAAACAAATAAAGTTGATACTGTCTACAGCAAAAAGGAGAAGACCCTCTGTGAGATGAATCTGTCATCACATTGCTATAACAATGGGCTGAAGCATAGCAACAATTACGAGGATGGTGCAGGACCAGGCAATGTTTCATTCTGTTGTACATACGGTCATTATCAGTTGGGACCAACTCAACAGAACCTAAAAACAACATTGTATATAATTATGACTCGATAAACTTGACTTAAAACTGATACGCTATTTTCAAAACATGTTTGAGGTGCTGTAGAATAGTTTATGCATATTCTGTGACTATTCGGAATTTTCTGTTTTAAATAGGGAAGAGTGAAGATCTAAATCGATCCACTAATTGGTTTCTCTGCCTCTCATCTAAAAACTCCTAGAAAGAGATAACCATCAACAATATCTCAAAATGTGCACTAAGAGCCTGGCAGTGAGTGAACCTTGAAACACAGACAAACATCAAATATACTTCTCATTGTTCTGCTAAACCCAAACTTCAGATTTCGTTGTGATAAAAACCAAAGGCACAATATTAGGAAAAGTATGATTTAAAATGCCAATTTTCTGAATCATTATTTGTGAAGCTTGCATTTTCACGATCTGTGAACACAAAACAGTTAACTCAGAATTCTTCACTTCCATTTCAGCATCGAAGGAAAGACAAAAAATTTTCCATATTTTTTCTTTCAACTTGTTTTCATACGTGAGACTTAAATACTTTATATATACCATTTTTCTACTTTTCTATGTAAGTTTGAGGCAAAAAAGCCTTTACATTGCTTTATCTAACCATAGTTTAAACCTACATATTTAGTGAGAAAAAAGAGAAAAAAGAACATAATTTGCACAAAAGAGAAATTAAATAATTTTTATATTTGTTGTTGTTGTTGTTATGTGCCGTTGAGTCGGCCCCGACTCATAGCAACCCCTCCTTGGGTTTTCGAGGCAGTATCACTACGGAAGTAGGATTGCCCAATTTAGCCTTAAACAAATCATCATTTCCATATGGTTGTTCTTTGGATACCACAGACAAGCAGTTCATGAATGTTTGAACTCATTGCTTTTCTGATAGCACATGATTTTATTCTTCAATCAAATTCAGAGCCCTGTTACGCCAAACCAAGAAGTAAGCCTTAACAATAACGATAATAATAATAAAACAACTTTGTAAAAAGTCTAACGTAAAGAAAAAATAGATGTTTAAAGAAATTGAAAGTATTTGACTTATGTCATCTTTCTGTAGCTATGGAAACAAAATTAATTCTAGGAGAAGGAAACACTAAAAGTGTCAAGAGACTTTTAAAGACTAAAGAAAAAAATATGAAGAAATATTTGTAGGTGTTGTAGTTAAGGTTATGTGTCAACTTGGCTGGGCCTGGTTTTGAGTGGCTGGGCAGCTGGTTGTAGTTATTTCCCATGATGAGACTGGCAATCAGCTCCATGCTTGAATCTGCCACGAGCAGCTGAGTAGCTGTTTTAAGGATAAGCAGCAGCTTTGGGCATGGTCTGCAGATTTTTGGCATGCTTGAACCCTGCATGTAGCCGAATCTTCATTTAGTAGCCTGCCATTTTTCCTGCTAATCTTGGGACTATCTGTAGACTTGAACGAGTGGACTTGTAATATTGAGACTGTGCCTTTTTACTTGTCAACCTTAGGTTTGCCAGCCTTTGCAGCCAGTGGCTGTCTTGAGTTAAGAAAACCTCCAACTTCAGTGGGCAAAACTGAAGCCACACATTGAGGGGTTTTCACCCAGGCCCTTACAGCTTGGCACTTTGAACTTGGGCTTCTAGCCTCCTAAACTGTAGGAGAATAAACTCCTATTTGTTAAAATCATACATTTGTGGTATTTCTGTTAGAGGTGCACTAGGTAACCAAAACAGTAGGGAGAGAAAGAAAAATTAAAGGGAAAAAAAAAAAAAAAAAAACATATATACACCCATCCTACCCAAAGCAAACAAAAGACTCTACTCAAGATATACAAATTAAATGTATGGTTAAGGACTCTGACCAACTCTGATGTCAGGGATTTGTTTTTCTTCTATGTCTCAAAACTCTGTATTGAGACTATAAAAACACAGAAATCAAACTTCCAGGTTCACAGGTAAACTAATCAAAATATCTACTATTATTATGTTGTTGTTCTTGTTATGTTACTTCGAGTCAGACCCGACTCATAGCGACCCCTCCTTGGGTTTCCTAGGCAGTATCACTACGGAAGTAGATTGCCCCATCTTTCTTCCGAGGAGTGGCTGGTGGGTTTGAACCGCCAGCCTTCTGGTCAGCAGTCAAGTGCCTTAGGCACTAAATGGTACATACATAATTGTGGTCTTTCCTGCGCCATTCGTGCCCAGCAGAGCAGTGATTTGGTCTCTGTGAAAGGTGACAGTGAGGTCTTTGATGACTGCTTTGTTGGGGTCATATTCCTTGGTCACAGACACCAGCGTTACTCCAGTGGAGCCTCCTTTAAGGTGTCCTTCCTTGCGTTGCGGAGATGACCCTATGAGGAAGATGCTAATTTATCATGTTGTTGTTGTTATTTGCCGTCGAGTCACCCCCGACTCCTGGCGACCCCTCCTTGGGTTTTCGAGGCAGTTATCACTACGGAAGTAGGATTGCCCAAACTTCCTTCCGAGGAGTGGCTGGTGGGTTTGAACTACCAGCCTCCTGGTTAGCAGTTAAGTGCCTTAGGCACTATGCTACCAGAGCTCCTAATTTATCATAGAAAGACTTTAAAGCCCCCAAAATAATTCTCACACTTAGTGATATGTCTATGGGCTGCCTTGAACTTGAGTTCTAGCTTTGTGAACATATAGAGAAATTTTAAAAATTTATATTTTTTTTACCAAAATCAAGAAATGAATTATGTAATGACAGAAAATTAAGTGAAGTTGCTGATTACAAAGTTTTGAAACCTGTGATACATACTTGGTTAAAAAAAAATTACATAAAAACAGACACATCTATCTGTATACACATACAAAGAGAAAACAATGGGCAGATTAGTTGCACACCAAAATGTCCATAAGAGGTAGTCTACCTAAGAGGTGAGAGTTAACAGATGATTATTAATGTGTTCCAAATTTTGTGATTCATATTTTAGTTATATAATCAGAAAAAAAGTACTTTACCATATTGACTTGTAATACAAAACAATTATGATGGAAGTTTATTTATGTGTCATGCATCTGTATTTATATATGAAATACATACATATAGATATAAAACTCAAACTCACTGCCGTTGAGTCAATTCTGACTCACAGCCACCCCTCCTTGGGTTTCCAAGGTGGTATCACTACAGAAGTAGATTGCCCAGTTTTCCTTCCGAGGAGCAGCTGGTGGGTTTGAGCCACCAGCTTTCTGGTTAGCAGTCAAATGCCTTAGGAACTATACCACCAGACCATATGCATGTATGCATGTATGTATATGTATATATAT